AGTGTCATCTGCAAACTTGCTGAGAGTGCAGTCCACACCATCCTCCAGATCATTAATAAAGATATTAAACAAAACCTGAGACACAGCCTAAGATCAAAGCCGATAAGAATCCTCTGCACAACCGTGATGTGCAGCAACCAGAATCCAGACAAGGCTGACCTTGCCTGGCCAACAGGGAAAGTCTGCCAGCCTGATCAGGATTGGTGAACATGGCATTGTATGCTTAGTATGTGTATTCTGCTTGGTAATTGTTAATAAATAGAGGATACGGATACTACTGTGTAAGGCTCTTTCAGGTCCTGCAGACCCGCAAAGTACACCCTGAGCACTAGGAACTGGGTAAAGGTGGGTGCCTCTACAGTGTGTGAGTAACAGAGAATTTTGTGTGGGTAACAAATTTGGTGGAGAGAATGTGGGCAGCCTAAGGTTGTTTGGACCGAATTGATCTAGCCTAACACAGTAATAGCAGCAGAATACCAGTGACATTTTGTCAAAAAGAGTCACTACCTGTTGGCAGAATGTTTCACCCTGAAGCAACAGGAGGGAAAGGAAACAAAGAAAAGGGATCAGGAGGAGTGGGGGTTAGCTGAAGACCCCACCCTCCTTGCTAAATGGGTAGCAGAATGGGGGGACAAGATTTTTTCCAGGGAAGGGATGCCCTTGAGTCTGCTTGTAAGGGCTTTGAAGCATTCTGTAAGTGCATGAAGCCAAAACAAAAGGAAAAGACTATCAAAGCAGCAGCAGCAGCAGCATGAGCATTATGGAAAGCTGTCACCAATCTCTCCAATCTGGTAGCACGCCAGGAAAGACAACTGGAGGATTACAAAGAGCGTGAACAACTGAAACTGAAAGTAGAAAACTTGAATGGGGAGATCTCTACATTGCAAATGAAACTGGGGGATGCTCAGGCAGCTGTCAGAATGCTGTTACAAGAAATAAGGATCAAGCCCAGACAAGCAGTGACCATACAGTCTGCAGGCAGCGAATAGAGAAATTGGAAAACATGTTGGGAGCCCAGAGGAGCATAATAGCAGCAGTAAGGGGAGGCGTGAGTGTGGGCATGGTGGATACAGACACTTGGGAGGACACTTGGAATGGGAATAGTTGGATGGATCCTGAAGAGAGAGATCCTGGATGCTCATACTCCCCATGCCCTCCGATGCTTTTCCTGAAGGGCCCCATGACCCTGCAAAAAGGGAATTGCAGGATTTGAAATTAAAAGCACAGCAACTCAATCTTGTGGCTCGTTACCACGAGGGTGGTAACAAGAACAGAACTTGACCCAAATGATGCACAACAATGAAGGGAAATAAGGCAAAATATTACAGAGATTTCTGATTTTACCCCAGATCAGGTACGGGCGGCTGCTCAGTTATTGGGACCCCTAGAAAGGGACACGTGTCTGGATTGGATGGTGAAGCTGTTGGCACAAACTGGGTAGAGGCCAGCAGATTATGAGGTTCTAGCCCAGGCCTATACTAGTGCTTCTGCCTGGACAATAATATGCAGTGCTGAGAAGCGGTTAGGAATAAACTGTGTTCTTGCTACCAGATGGGACTGAGTGTATGGGTGACGGGTATTGTAGGCACAGGAAGGCTTTGCCTTCCCAAACAGCCTGACGTCCCCCTGCCCATGCTCCACCTTCAGGCCCCATCCTGCCTACTGTTCCCTTTGTGCTAGAGGCTGGGGCAGACAGGCTGGGGGCTGCAGTGTGCCCATGGGGCCGCGCCACGCCACCTGTTCTCCTA